AAGAATAATAAAATAAGATAAATATATATGTGTGTCTCGTGTAGACTTTACTTCTTACCATCTAAATATTTCACCATATTTTTTTTTTGACCAGAGATAAATATTTTACCATATTGACAATAGATGTTGCTTCCCCAGTCAATCAGCATAATTAATTAATTATGGTCCTATGAATAAGTGGACTGGAAGGATCATATTCAATACTATGTATCTTTCTTGAGGGATTTTCGACTCCGCTGTTTAATTTGTGACTATATATAAACATATATTCTGACAAAGATCACTTCAATTTAAAGTGGCCAAGTGGGTGTACGTATTTCAGTGTTTCTCTTTTTATTTTGTCATATATTTTTCTTCACCTAAGACTCTTCAAATCAAAATGGCAACGAATATGTTTTTTTATCTAAAAAAATTATTCCTAATCAACACCGTTTGTGAAAAATAAATGAGGTCCATGTCTTGAAGGGTTTTCTTCCAAGTGCCGCCATTTAAATGAGACCAAAGTTGGATTGTGTCATATCCCAAAAATTTTCATCTGATGATAAAAGATAAAAAATTAGGATAAGGGTTAATATAGAAACTAGACGGGAAGATGAAACAACTTTTGATATGAAACCCTGAAAAGGTCCGGACTGACATTTTCGTAATTATCGGTCTAGGAAAGGCAAAACAAAAAAATTTTAGAAAAATTCTAGAAATCCCCGACAAATAAGAAAAGTTTAGAGTAGAGGTTTTGAAAAATTAGTTGAGACCCGAAAGGTGGAAATTCAGTAACAATGAATTGTTACAGAATTTCCCGTAAATGGAGATTTTTCAAAAAATTATTAGAAAATTGAAGAAAAATTATTATTTTAATTAGTTAGAGGCCTCAATAAATTTAAGGGATTGATGGACAATTCATCTAAATATTTAGTTGAATTTATAAAATTGATTTTAGGCCTTGAAAGCTCAAGAATTAATTTTAAGAAATTTATTTTCACATGTTTTTTTTTTGTCAAATAGTTTTCGCATGTCAACATAAAATAAACCATCAAAAAGAAGGGAATTTTAAAAAGTTGAGAAAGAATTTAAAAGTTGAGTTGTAAAATACTATTTTGATCCTTAATATAAGATTTAGTTAACTAATTTGAATATATTAAGGAAACTAGTTACGTTAGTTATTTGTAATAAATTTTTTCTTATTTTTCTTAAAATATCATTGCTAATCAAGTATATTAACTAGAACTATTATTATTACAATGATTATCTTAGAAAAATGGATAAATATGATAAACAAAATAGATTAGGATCTTATATTTAGAACTAAAATAAAATTCAAACAAACTCTTATATTAAATACGAGAAGTAGGGTAAATTATGTATCCAAAATATTTTAAAATTTAAATTTTTATATAATTATTTTAGAATTTTTGATTTGGAAAAGCAACACTATTATTTAAATGGGAGATTAAATAATTTTTTTTTTTTGAAAAAAAGAAGAGATAGACCGAGGGAGGGGGCAGAATGTGTGAGGGCATCCGAAAATAATATAAAGAGATAAAATTTAAAGTGGGTGGAAGAAGATCTATTGGAGAGAGAGAGAAAATTAAATCAAAAAAAGAGAGAGGAAGTTGAGAGTCAAAAGAGAGAGAGCGCGTGTAGAAGGAAAAAGGATATATAAAAACTGCAACAAGGATGGGTCCCACCATGTGATTTGGGGGATTTCTATTAGTCAGAGTACAAATTACGTGGCACTTCTAGTGCATGTAAGAATTCCTCAAAGAGCCCAATGGATCTTACTGGTGACGCACATATCTGGAGAGCAAAATAGGCGTGCTGATGCGTTGGCTGAACAAGGTCTTGCAGTTACAGCTTTTATGGATTACTGTCCTTTAGAGCTTATGGTATATGATGGACACTGCGAACATGGGAGCCAGTCTCCTTAAGTTATTTTTGAGTTTTATTTAGGCTTTAGCCTTCTCTTATGTCAAAAAAAAAAATGTATAATCACCAATAGCCATTACTTGAAAGTCAAATAAACAAGTATTTGATATTAAGTTAATTGAGATGTTATATTTAAAACTAAATTAATTTTTTAATTATCTCTTATATTAATTATCAGACTTGATATTTATCTCTGCAAGCTATTTTTTTTACAATAGATTTTTTTTATTTTCAAAAATTCTGCATAATTAATGATATAAATGGACTTGCAAGTATCATTTTCAATATTATGTCTCTCTGTATTGACTCGAGGACTTTTCCACTTTGCCCTTTGTGATTATATTTTTTTTTTCTTTTTTGTCAGTTAAACATCATTTCAAAGTGAGTGCATGTCAGTTTTTCTCTTCTTTATTTTCCACATTTTCCACAAAACGCTCCTTTCTTTCATGTGCACTTTCAATTTAATTAGGAAATCTATTTTTTTACCTGAAAAATTCAGCATAATTAACGTCGTCTTAAGCATAATTAACAAAGAGAGAGGATTGAAACGGCTCAGACCTTCAAAATTTCTATATGCAACTAGATGGCTCATCATCGAACGGTTAAGATCATTCCTAACTTCAATGAAACGGTGCTAGCGGTGATGAGCTCCTTGCCTCTATGCAGTACTGAAACTCGTTCCCCATATCTCACAGACAGTTATTGTGTCACAATCATATTTAACTTTATTTCGACTTCTTGAGGACTTTTCCATGTTGCTCTTAAATTTGCAATGAGCTCCTTGCTATTACGCATTGAAACTCGTTCCCTACATCTCATGGACATTTCTTGTGTCACAATCATATTTACAGTTATTTCTACTTCCTGAGGACTTTTCCACATTGCTCTTAAATTTGTGACAATTTTTCTACGTAAACATCACTTCAAAGTGGCCACATGTCAGTTTTTCTCTCTTTAGTTTCTTTTCATATATTTTTTTTGTTCATTAAAAACTCTTTTTCTTTGATATCTGCCTTGAAAATAACTTCGCTGCTTATCGATCTGTGAATAATCAACAAATGGTTTCTCAAAAGATAAATATATATGTATGTCTCATGTAGACTTCACTTCTTACCATCTAAATATTTTACCATACTTTTTTTTAACCAGAGATAAATATTTTACCATATTAACAATAGATGTTGCTTCCCCAATCAATCAGCATAATTAATTAATTATGGTCCTATGAATAAGTGGATTGGAAGGATCATATTCAACGCTGACCCAAAAGCAGCTTAAACCAGCTAAAATTTTAAAATAAGTTGGGTTGAAATCAGGGACCTGTTTGGCAGAGCTTGGAATTGATTGGGCTTATGTTAAAAAAGGCTATCTAGACGCCCCATTGCAATAAGCTCCAAGAAAGAGCTTATCAATTAAATCAGAAAAGCTTTTGGCCCAAAAAAAAAAAAATCAGAAGGTTTAGCTGTTCTGCAATGTCAAAGATTCTTTTTTTCTCTCTCGACGAGCATCACTTCCTTTCTTTTTCACCCAGGACTCCTACCCTATCCCTGTTGCTGGTCACCCCACAGAATGTCCCTCCCTAGTCGTTGTGAGCTCTGCTTTGTCATCATCGTGAGCTCAGCATAGTGGGTGTGAGGTGTGTGTGGCCTACTGGAGGGTGCTTCTTCCTCGCAAGTCTGAGCTAGTCCTACCGTCTACAACCGAGGTCGCTTCCGTCTGCTTGTGCTTTCAAGCTTTGTATGGAGATCTTGCCTTGCCAGTCTAATGCACCATGGGATCTACCTCTGACAGCCTTCGATTAGGTTGATTTGTTACAAGTTGCACAGTATTTTTTTTTGCTTTCTTTTCTTGTTTGATCCATGATTGAATTTGTTGTTGCTGGTGGAAGCCTTAACATTAAAGCCTGAAAATTGGTTTAATCAAGAGTTCTCCGTCATCGCTGGTTGTTTTTCAATTTTTCCTTCTGGTTTTTTGTGGTCCTCTGTTTCTGGCTGATGGTTGTTTTTATTTTTTCCCTTCTAGTTTTTCATGGTCACTTGCCTCTGCTCGCCGGTAATGTGATCTTTTTCCCCTCGACTTCATGGTTTTTGTGGTCCTTTGTTTCTGCTGGCCGGTGGTTCTTTTTATTTTTCCCTTTTGGTTTTTTGTGGTCGCTTGCCTCTACTCGCTAGTGGTTTGATCTTTTTCTCCTCCCTTTCGTGGTTTTGATTATCTTGTCCGAGCTGTTGAGGTGAATTAACAGCTGTCTGTTGGAGCAATGGATCTGCGTAGAGCTTGTGATTATCATTCTAGATATGTGATTGTGTATACGTGCATATGAGCTTGTGTATATTTGTATATCAGATTGCGTTACACGGATCATTCTGTTGCAATGGTGCTGGAATTTTGAAAGAAAAATGTGCAAAAAATTTCTGGTTTCTGTTGGTGTAAATCCAATAACTTCAATTTGCAATTTCATATGAAAAAAACTTTCCCATTGGTAGCAAATGCTTATCCATTAAGCAGGAAAAATTCTATTCTATGTCAAAATTAAAAAGACTTGTTGTTCCTAATATATTAATTTTTATGACTTCAGTGCTTTTATGTGAAGTAGATTGAAGAAAGTAATTTTAAAACAATTTTTTAGTCCTTTTAATTAAGTTTTTAATAACACAACTAACTACTAAACTGTCTTCCCTAATTAAGTTTCTATTAATTAAGTTATTATTAATTAAGTTTCTGTTAAAATATGGTAGTTCCAATTCAAAGATGAACAATTGTTTTTCAAACAATAAGAAAAATAATTGATTAATTGAGTTTTGAAAAAATTTCACAACCAATTACCACTGATTCAATGTTTATAGTTTAAAAAATTTTTGAATAAGAAAACTAAACAGCTTTTGCAATTACAATGTGTTAATTAATATTTTACGACTTCATAATAATAATTAGAGTTTTGATAACAAAAACATTTACAATAATATTAAGAAAATAATATATATGTTTGTTTGGTTATTACATAATATGGCTTTTATTATTACACATTTAGGCTTTTAGTAGATTTAGTAAGTTTTGTCTCCATCAAAAGGCATAGAGAAATGGACAATGATAATGGAAAAGCGACATGGGATCCTTACACGATAAAGATTCTAATCAATGTTTGCGTCGAGCAAATAGTGCACAAGAAACAACAAGGAAAATCATTTACAAGGCCCGGTTGGGGGAAAATTGAAAAGAACTTTCAGGAAAGAAGCGGCAGAAAGTATGACAAGAGGCAATTGAAGAATAAATTTGATATATTGAGAAAAGATTGGAAGTTGTGGGATAAACTAATGTTTGGAGAGACTGAGATTAGTTATGCTGTAGCCACAAATAGGGTTTTGGCCTCCCATGAGTGATGGCAACCAAAATTATAGGTAATTATTGCGTTTGGTTGAGTTTTAATTTTGAATATCCGTTAAGACTTCATTTAATTTTGCCTAATTATGTTAATGTAATGTAGGTTGACCCTAATTTCAAGAAATTTAGACATCAAGGGTTGATTTTTGCATCAGATTTGCAGAAAATATTAAAAGATGTTGTGGCTTCAGGAGACTATATGTACGCACCATCAGCCTCACAGTCCCAGTCAACACCTGTGACACAGGCTGATACAAAAGAGGAGGATGATGTTTATAGAGTCGGCTTGGACCAACAGAAAGGGTCAGGGGACAGTGAGGACAAAAATTTTAGAGTTGACCTAACAGCCAGTGCAACGTTCACATATGACTTCCCTGGTCACAACTTAAACAACCTTGTGAGTATTGGACCAAGTGGCTCAGGAAGCTATGGAAAGAGGAAGAGGGGTGAGACGTCTGATGCAAAGAAGAAGAAAAAAGTTGTTGCATCTACTAAAATTTCTGATAGCCTTAGTGTTATAGTGGCTGCTTTTGATAAGCGAGCAGCAGCACTGGTTGAAGATCCCCAACTAGTTGACAAGGTTTTAGCACACCTGACTACCGTTGAGGAGCTTAATGGTAACAATCAATTATATTATGCATGTGCCAAGATGCTTACGCAGTTGAGGTGGGCTAGGCGAGCCTATTTGGGGTTTATGTATGATAGAAGCAAGTTGTTGGCGTGGTTAATACCGGCAGCCTAAGACCTAAACACATGGAAGGGACCTATAGATTAGGATTTAGTTGTTGCACTTGTTAACTTGAATTGATTGCCGTTTGAACTTGAACTGATGTGACCTGTTGTAGGAACTTTATTAATGACTATGTAATATATTTATGCTAATTCTACTTGTCATCTATGTGTTTGGTTTTTCTGTTTGCAGTATGAAAATTATTTACACTTTGTTTAGTGTAGTCCTTATAATGCTTACACTTTGTTGTCATCATAGTTACAGGGTTAACTCCAGAAATGGCTAATTGGAATGATGATTCACCATAGAATGAAGATACTTTGAGAGATTGGAATAACGATTCACAAGGGAATGAAGATGACCATTCAAGATGATTATCCATGATTAATGAGGAATTAACACAATATGAAGCAGTAGGTGCATTGGTTGGTCATTATTGTTAAATGTATATGTTCAAACAACCCTGCAGAACTAGTGAGCAGACAGAAAATTTATGGGTACAAGGCATTATGAATGGGCATGATGATCGATCTCCTGAAATGTTTAGACTGGATAAATATGTTTTCCACCTCTTATGTACTAAATTGGAGGAACATGGTTCACGAAAGTCTAAGTATGTAGGAATTGAAGAAATGATTGCAATGTTTTTAAACACGGTTGCACATGAACAATGCAATAGGATGATCCAGGAACGATTTCAACGTTTAGGGGAAACTGTAAGTAGGCACTTTCACAATGTACTGCAAGCTTGCTTTAGCCTATCAAGTGAACTTATTCGACCCATAGATCTTACATTTCGTGGAACTCATAGAAAAATTGAGAATGATCCACTTTATTATCCTTTTTTTAAGGACGTAATCGGAGCAATTGATGGCACTCACATACCATGTGTTGTCCTCGCTGCAAAACGAGATAAATTTATTGGCAGAAAGGGAAATCCATCACAAAATGTCATGGCTATATGTGATTGGGATATGTGTTTCATTTTTGTCTTGGATGGGAGGGATCTACACATGATGCTCGTATATTTCACAAAATGTCAGGTCCCGTCTTCGCCCGTTCTTCATCGCCAGCTCGCCTCTTCACCGTCGCTGCTCTGAAATTCTACACCGGTGAGATGGTCCTGGCCTCGCGAAAATAAGGGCTGGTCCTGTGTTTCTCGGCTCGCCAAAACCAGATCAAGCGTTGGGTAGTCCGATCCATCCATCCTCTGTTTCCAATCTTCGTTCTTCAGTTCGCTCGGTGAGGTCGGCTTGTCTAGTTCGGTTGGTCAGATCATGTACTCAGGTTAGCTCTCTCTAGTGATATTAAAAACTTTGTTCACTCATGTATTTCCTCCATTCATCGATCTATTAGCTTCCTGCTTATGGTTATGGTTCGGTCCCTCCTCTGTCTTTGATCTGTCATCCTGTTGCAAGTCATATGAATTTTTTTAGAATCGTGGCTATTAGTATTTTGACTGTGGTATGTTGATTTGGAATGATTTGGCTGTATATCCTCTTCGAATTGCAAGCTTCCTCTCGGTTCCATTTTTCAATTTGCTCAACCAGGTTTTTGTTGTTCGAAGGAATGATATCATTATTGCTTCGTTTGGTAAATTGCTTTTGATTTTATGAAACGAAGAGGGAACAGATTCTGGTAATCAATGTCTAGTTCTGGAGGCAGGGGACGTATATGGATGAGAAAGTCTGGCAATTGAATTCTACTGGTTATATAAATTCAATGCAAGTTGTTTTTCCTGTTGTTGCTTGGCGTGGGATCCTTTTTTCTGTCCAGATTTCCCCTGGAGAAGAAGCCTGTGAAGTCGAGACTTTGGTTTTTTTTTTTTACGTGGATAGTACTTGTGATTAATTCAATTCATTAACATTATTTGTTAAGAGTTGATCTGATTTGGGATGAGATAAGAAATGTGTTGTCCTGTACTGTTGTATTAAGGATTTTGATAAATTTATGGCCAACTTTTGAGAGTGAGGAAAAATGGAATCACAACTGAAATCCATGTATATATATTGAATGGAAGTGATTTGTATTTTGGTCAGAGGTTTATGTTGCTAGTTTTTTTTATTTTCGATTGACAAATCTGATAAGGATATAATTTTTAAAAAATATTATGAAAGGCTTGTGCAACATGTTATTTTTTAAAAACAATAATTTGCTTTATAATATTATTGTGTTCATCATGAACATTTGTATTAATTACACAGATGAACGAATTTTTTTCAAATATATTCGTAATACACAGTTATTCAAAGGTTAAGTACAAGATGATTTATAATGCATGATAGTTCAAATATGACTATTCTTATTATTTTGGCCTCCAATCATCTTTCTACAATAGTTAAGAAAAAAGTATATTTAATTAACATGTTATTTTGGACGTTTTAAAAGTTTTAGTATTTTGAAGTAAAAACAGATAATGAAGTTTAGAAAGGAGGGGGTGTATTTTTTCTAGCCATGTAAAATTAGAATTTTCTTGTGTTTGTTAATTTTTGTCACACTTGGTTTTGTAGGAAGGAATCGAGATTTAAAATGTGGTCAACTTTTTCACCTATTGCAGTAGACAATATGATTTTTGTTATTTCATATGATTTTGGGTTGATTAACTTGTGATGACTGAAGAGCTGTAATTGTGCTATAGCATAATGGGTAAGGATACGGTAAAAGCTTCCTGGGATCTAAGAACCACTAAAGTGTTTCTTGACCTGTGCATTGAACTTGTGCAACAAGGGGAAAGAAAAGGTACTAGCTTAACAAAGAAAGCTTGGGATATTCTTGGTGATAAGTTTACTGCCAAAACTGGGAGAGTGTATGAAAAATCTCAATTTAAGAATAAATATGATTCCCTACGAAAGGAGTGGCAGACATGAGATAGGCTGCTTCGCGAGACAGGATTGGGATGGGATACGGAAAGGAATACTGTCAGTGCAACTGTTGATTGGTGGGAGAGGAAAATAAGGGTAATTATTGAACCTTTTGATCTTACATTTTCTCTGCCTGTTAATGTTTTGTGCATATTTACTGTTTTTTGAATATTTTATGATATTATTGGTGTCTAATGTGCAGGAAGTTCCAAACTACGAAAAATTTAGAGAAAGAGGACTTCAATTTAGGGATCAATTAACTCAACTATTCGGGAGTGTGGCTGCAACTGGACCATAGGCATGGGCACCTTCTTCTATGACACTTCCAAGTGAAGGAACACCGAATGAAGATTTGGAAGAAGGGTCCGAAGATAGTGATGAAATTTTAGGTGCACCAACTGGTATAAGTGGGGAATTTAACACAGCGAACTTCAATGATAATAGTGGAGGTAGTGGAGGCAACACTGAATTGAGGCAGGATAACAGTGGTGGGGGTACAAGCAGAGGTAGGAGTCGACCTAGTAGCTCACTGGGGGTCAGAAGAAAAAGTGAAGTCAAGAAGAAACGCACATCTCCCTCTATGAAAATAGCGGATGCACTTAACAAGATTGCTGAAACAAATATTTCTGAGGCCGAGCGTGGAAATGAGGTCATTTCAAGAGTGGAAGCTAGAAGGTTGGAAGAAGAAGCTAGAAGGTTGGAAGAAGAAGCACGTGCTTATGAGATTTTGGGGAGTCCTGTCTCACCTAAAAACAGTTCCTGAAGTTGTCAATGATCTTGATTTCTTTAGATGGTGCACACAACTCCTTGTGGAACGGCCGAAGGCACGGGAAATGTATGCAGCTCTGAAGGATCAGAAGGAACAACTTCTGCCTATTTTGGAGTATTACACTAGGGATTTATGACTTGTTTATTATATTAAATAGTTCCATATGTATATTGTTTTATGTGACTAGTGGGTTGTTATATGAATCAGACAACTTTGTAAGTTTTATAAATGTTTCGTAATTTCTATGTAAGAATTTTAAATTTTATGTGTATGTGCACAAGATAAAACGAATATGGATGCTGAAATTAAATGTGTGGAAGAGCATGCTAAGGGACAAAAAAAAAGGGTTAACAAAGTTGCAGCATTGGTCGGTGCATACGCTACTTTGAACTTGTGTAAAGAGCCTCGGCATACAAGTGCTTATACAGGCTGCTTATGGGTAAGGGGTGTTTTAGATGGCAGCTCCAGTCATTGTTATAACATGTTTAGGATGGAACGAGATGTGTTCTTAAGTCTGGTGGAACAATTGCAACAACATGGTCAAAAGAAACTAAAAATATAGGGATACATGAATCAGTTGCAATGTTTTTACATACCGTTGGCCATGCACTTAGTAGCAGAATGCAACAAGAAAGATTTCAACATTCAAGGGAGACAATTAGCGGATATTTTCATAATGTCCTAATGGCATGCTGTAGACTTGCCATGTCTAATATCAAACCAAAAGATCCAACATTCCGGCATGTTCATACAAAAATTCGGTTTGGTAAATACTGGCCTTTTTTTAAACATGCTATCGGAGCAATTGATGGCACACATGTTTCCTGCGTTGTCAGTGCAACAGATCAAACTAAATTTATCTCTAGAAAAGGAATAGTGTCACAAAATGTCATGGCAGTTTGTGATTGGGACATGTGTTTTACTTTTGTTTTGGCCGGATGGGAAGGTAGCGCATATGATGCTCGGATATTTGATCATGCCCTCACAACTCCTTCAATGAACTTTCCCCATCCCCCTGAAGGTATTTTTTATTTCCTACATTTTATTTATATTTAGCTTAACAATAGAAACATAATTTACAATAATTTCATTTTTTATATAGGAAAATATTATTTGGTGGATGCTGGATACCCAACACCAAATGGATATCTCGGCCCATATAGACGGGAGCGAAACCATCTGCCTGATTTTGAAAGGACATCTGGGTTTGAAAATGACAATGAGGTCTTTAATTATTTCCATTCAAGTTTAATGAGTACAATTGAAAGAACTTTCGGAGTTTGGAAAAAAAAGTTCGCAATCTTACGAAACATGCCATCCTATGATTATGAAATACAAGTTAAAATCGTTTGTGCAACGATGGCTATACATAATTTTATTAG